GTATATATGTCCGGTGTATATTTATATATATATATATATATATATATATATATATATGCATATATATATATATATATACACACACACCTATATATTTATATATATATATAAATTTATATATATATACATATACATATATATATTATATATATATATATATATATATATATATATCTATATATATCTATATACAAATATATATCTATATATCTTTATATTTATTTATATATATATATACATGTATATACTGTCATATACCTGTTTGTTTTATGGTGGGTACTGCGTGGCTGTTTTTCCACTCACGTACGCACATCTGCACTTGTTTGTTTCGCCCCGTAACTGTATTCACACTATACACGCACATAGTCTGTGCCTGTGTGGGTGTGTGCTGTGTATATATGTCCATAAAGATACATGCCTAACCCCCCCCCCCACACACACCTACACTTGTGAGTGAGATGGATGTATGAAAGGGTGTGTGTATTCGTATATGCGATACATCACAGGTTATCGTGTGCCCTAGGGCTGTTTATGGCCTGTTTGATTACTTGGGTCCATGTTCACCTTGGCTGCCAACCAACCTTATCGACAAATATATATATATATATATATATATATATAAATATATATATACCTTTACAATTACACCGATTGTATATGTTCGATGTGTCTGCATTTAGTTTTTATCATAAAGTTTATTGCTCTATACGATGACACTGACACTGGTCTATTCTCAACACCTGTACCTCTCTTTCGTTCACGGTATACCATGTTGTGCAGATCGTATGCCTGTGATACAGCTGTGGGATTTACGAAACGCGTATGCGCCCGTGCGCGCTTTAGAGGGACATTCTCGGGGCATTCTGGCCATGGCCTGGTGTCCAAAGGACGGCGACATGTTGCTGAGTACCGCCAAAGGTGGGTGGTCAAGTCCATAGGGGTTCATAAGTAATCTACACAAGTTTGTTATGAGATGCGCTTTGTTTACACCGTACAACCTCTAAATCCGACTTTGAATATGCGATAGGGAGAAGTAGGTAGGCAAGATATGTTATATGCCAACATATGCATTTGTAAGTTTACGATGCGTGATGGGTTTCGCGTTTCGAGCTTTTCTTTTCTCTCGAGGTCCGCTCCCCACACGCCTCCTCCCATCCAATCCATGCATCTCACCACATACACTAAACCCTATACCTTAAAACCTTAAACTCTACCACATACATTACAGACAACCGGTCCATTGTGTGGAATCCTAACTCAGCACAGGGCCAAGAGATTGTTACCGAATTACCACCATGCAGCAACTGGCGCTTTGACGCTCAGTGGAGTGCGCGCAATCCTCTGCTGCTGGCGACATCCTCGTTTGCAGGCACCATGACGGTCTTCAACATTGCGGACAATAGACCCGATG